GAGTTGATGGTGTCATGAGTGGGAATGAAGATGGCTTGCTTGCTAGCTCGGTCTATGACTACTAAGATGGCGGTGAATCCGTTGGAGTCCGGTAGTTGTTCAATGAAGTCCATGGAAATGGAATCCCATGGCCGTTTGGGAACTGGCAGAGGTTTCAGTAACCCATAGGGGCGGTGTCTGGATGCCTTGTTGCGCCCACAAACTGTGCAGGACTTAACATAGTGTCGGACATATTCACACATCTTTGGCCAGGTGTAGTTCCGCTGGACTAGTTCTAATGTCCGGTTTTGACCAAAGTGACTTGCCAAGATGTGGTCATGATTGTTCTGTAGTATACGGAGATGGAGATCATCGGAGTCCGGGATGTGGATGCGGCCTTTGAAGTGAAGGATGTTGGATTCGTCAATGGACCATTGAGAGGGAGAGGATTCGGAGGCGGCCTTGGCCTGGCGGAGGCCATCAGAGGACATAGCATCAGAGGATTGTGCTTGTCTGATATCGGTGTGGAGTTTGTCAATATCCATGATGGCACTAGCCCGTAGGGTGGGGCCTTCGAGATAGGTTGCTCGGAGTGATGCGGAGAGTTGTTCTTGGGTGAACATGGGTCGGAAATTGTGCAGGTTGATTTGGGCATATTGGCTATCCCCCTCTTTAGGGTAGACGTCCCATCATCTAGTGAGTGCATCCGGTTTCCCACCAAGTTTTCCAGGGTGGAACCGGATTACTAGGTTGAACTGGGATAGGTATTCGGACCAGCGGACCTGTCGGTGGGTTAGAATCTTAGTGGTGGCGAAGTATTCAAGGTTCTTGTGGTCTGTTACAACATCGATGCAGTCCGCGGAGCCTTCAAGGTAGTGCCGCCAATGTTTAAAGGCTTCAAAAATGGCTAGAAGCTCTTTGTCATGGGTGTCATAGTTGAGTTCAGCATTGTGGAGGCTCCGGGAGCGGAAAGCGATGGGGTGAATTTCGCCATCTTCAAGATAGATGGAGAGGATAGCTGCAATTGCATAGTCGGAGGCATCGGTTTCCACCACTATCTTTTGATCGGGGACCCAGTGGGTAAGGATGGGGATGGTTGCTATTTGAGATATACGGCTCCCGATGGAGCCATCAAATAATCGAAGTTGCACACTAGGGATGGTTTTAATGGGGATTTCATTGGCAGTTACATACTTAGTGTCAACAAAGCAGTGGCTAGAGCCAGAATCAATAAGGGCAAGAAAACGTAGGATGATACAAGTTGGGGAACCATCGGGTTCCGTAGTAGTCGGCAATTCTGCTGAGAGGGGAATGTGAAAGGAGTGATTGGAAAGGGATGTTGCATTGAGAGTGATGACCTCCGGTGTGCAAATACAGTCGACGCAACCCTGAACTCACACGGAGGGAACAGGGTTGCTTCCTAGTTTTCCGACTCCATCAGAGCCAGTTCCACGGAAGCGGTGTCGACCTCTGCTGCACGCCCCTTGGCAGAGGCTGCTGCCTTCCGCTTGTTGCAGTCCTCGGTCTTGTGTTTGGCTCCACAGAACATGCAAAGGTTGTTCTGGTGCCGGCGGTCTTTTTCTTCCTGGGTAAGACGGCCATCTTTGCCTAGCTTGTCAGCATAGGGCTTAGGGGCGGTAGATTTCGGTGTGGAGCTGGAGTCCGAGGAAGAAGTGTTAGACCCCTTGGATTTGGGGTTGGGGAATTTATTGTCCCGGTTTTCACAGGCAATTTCGGTCTTCCAGGTCCAGTAACGAGCATCAAGTTCTTGGGCAAGGAAGCGCATATCACGAAGGTTGTTTGGCTTCCCATGGTGTGCCATGTCATCCTTGATACGGGTGCAGAGGCCACGGTAAAAGGCATGGCAGAGGGAGTTATCTCCGTACCCAATTTGTGAAGCATACTGGTTGAATTGGACCATATA